CAGCTACTTGGGAGGCTGAGGCAAGAGAATCACTTAAGCCCAAGAGTTTGAGGTTGCTGTGACCTGTGACGCCACAGCACTCTACTAAGGGTGACATAGTGAGACTCTGTCTCAAAAAAAACCAAAAAACCCAGGATCTGAGTGTTGTCTGTGGCTCAGTGAGTAGGGCACCGGCCCCAGATACCAAGGGTGGTGGGTTCAAACCCGGCCCCAGCCAAACTGCAACAAAAGATAGCTGGGTGTTGTGGCGGGCACCTGTAGTCCCAGCTACTCAGGAGGCTAAAGCAAGAAAATCACCTAAGCCCAAGAGTGGAGGTTGCTGTGAGCTATGACGTTACAGTACTCTACTGAGGGCGACAAAGTAAGACTCTATCTCTAAAAAAAAAAAAACTCACAAAAGTAAGGCAACAGTACCACTTAAACATAGCCTGTGTTCTTATAAATACTACTTAAACTATCACAGAGCCTGATGTGTAATAGAATTGTGAGATGTGTCACAGATGTAGATTTAGAATTGTCTACCCAGTGCTTTGACCCCTTCTTTAAAATTCCGTCAAAGCTAAGAGGTACTACACACCCCTGTCAGTAACACTGGCTCACCATGGTTGTGAGGGGAGTCAAGGTGATTTCAGCATTTGGGGAATGGATGGTTTGAATCCTTTGTCCTACCCTAATTTTGAAATGCACAGGACTGGTCTAACCCCTACATTTTACAAGAAACTAAGATCCACAGAAGTTAAGTAATTTGCTAAGAGCATGTGGTGAGCCTATGACCAATCCAGGTCAAGAACCCAGATCTCTGAACTTACAGCTTGATGATGTTTGTTCTAGATCATGATAACTGATGATTTTTGGAAGGTTTTTCCTCTACTTAAAAAAATGTACTTTAAAAATATATCTGTGCCTGAGGCTAAAGTGGCTGGCGTGCCAGTCACATACACCTGAGGTGGTAGGTTCGGATCCAGCCCGGGCCCACCAAACAGCAATGACGGCTGCAACCAAAAAAATAGCCGGGCATTGTGGTGGGCGCCTGTGGTCCCAGCTACTTGGGAGGTGGAGGCAGGCAACTCGCTTGAGCCCAGGAGTTAGAGGTTGCTGTGAACTGTGATGTCACAGCACTCTATCCAGGGGGACAGCTTGAAGCTATGTCTCAAAAAAAAAAAAAAAATAGACATAACTTCATGTCCGGGAGAGATGGCTCACATCTGTAATCTTAGCACTCTGGGAGGCCAAAATGGGAGGATCATTTGAGCTCAGGAATTTGAGATTAGGCTGAGCAAAGTGAGATCCAATCTTTATTAAAAATAGAAAAATTGGCAAGGCATGGTGATGGGTGCCTGTAGTCCCAGCTAATTGGGAGGCTGAGGCAGGAGGATTGCTTGAGCCCAGGAGTTTGAGGTTGCTGTGAGCTAGGTTAATGCCATAGCACTCTAGCCTGAGCAACGGAGTGAGATTCTGTCACAAAAGAAAACACACACACACATAAGGTGTCTATGAAGTTCATGTGCAATTTAAAATATTAAACTTTTTTTTATTGTTTGGAAGTCATTGAGGGTACAAAGAATTACTCCATGCTGATGGCATTTGTTAGATAAAGTCCCTCTTATAATTGTGTCCCACCCCCCCAAAGAGGTGTGCCATACACCATGACCCCCAAAATATTAAACTATATAAACTGCACACAAACTTTATGAACACCCTGTATATAAAACTTTATGGCTGGGCACAGTGGCTCATGCCTATAATCCTAACACTTCAGAGGTTGAGGCAGGAGGCTTACTTGAGCTCAGGAGTTTGAGACCAAGAGCAAGACTCTGGCTCTACAAAAAATAGAAAAATTTCACCTATAGTCTCAGCTACTTGGGAGGCTGAAGCAGAAGGATTGCTTGAGTCCTGAGTTTGAGGTTGTGGTGAGCTATGATGACTTTTTTTTTTTTTTTTTTTTTTTGAGACAGAGCCTCAAGCTGTCCCCCTGGGCAGAGCGCCGTGGCATCACAGCTCACAGCAACCTCCAACTCCTGGGCTCAAGCGAGTCTCCCGCCTCCGCCTCCCAAGCAGCTGGGACCACAGGCGCCCGCCACAACGCCCGGCTACTTTTTGGTTGCAGCCGTCATTGTTGTTTGGCGGGCCCGGGCTGGGGATTCGAACCCGCCACCCTAGGTGTACGTGGCTGGCGCCCTAGCCGGTTGAGCCACAGGCGCCGAGCCGAGCTATGATGACTTTACTGCACTTTAGCCCAGGTGACAAAGATGCTGTCTCAAAAAAAATGTGTGTGTTATATGTGTGTGTGTGTGTGTGTGTGTGTGTATATGTAACTTTATGGTAGAGAAAATACAAATAACCCAAACCAAAGCTGTAACCTCACCAACTATGGATAACAGCATTAACATTTTTCTGTTTATACATCCAGTAGTTGTTCAATGCCAGCTATCATCAGCCTGTGTTTCTGTATATGTACAAAATGAAATCACAGTATGTACATTACTTTTTTTTTGAGACAGAATGTCACTGTCACCCAATGTCATAGCTACACCCATTGACATGGCATCATAGCTCATAGCAAGCTCAAACTCTTAGGCTTTAGCAATCCTCTTGCCTCACCTCCCCAGTAGCTGAGACTACAGGTACCTGCTACCACACCCAGCTAGTTTTTCTATTTTTAGTAGAGATGGAATCTTGCTCTTGGTGAAGCAGCTCTCTGGCCCCTGAGCCTAAGCCATCCACCCACCTCAGCCTCCCACAGTGCTAGGATTACAGGCATGAGCCACTGCGTGTGACCATACACTTCTTTTTTTTTTTTTTTGAGACAGTCTAATTTTGTCACCCAAAAATTAACAGCACATCTGTTAATGCTGTGCTGTCAGCCTAGCTAAGAGCAACCTCAAACTCATGGGTTCAGGTGATCATCCTGCCTCACCTCCTGAGTAGCTGGGACTTAGACGCTACAGAACCTGATTAATTTTTCTATTTTTAGTAGAGACATGGTCTCTCCCTTACTTAGGCTGGTCTTGAACTCCTGAGCTCAAGTGATCCTCCTGCCTCAGCCTCCCAGAGTTCTAGGATTATAAGTGTCAGCCACCTTGCCCAACCTATGCAAACTGCTTTTCCCACTTACAGATGTGCTGTTACCCATGTCTTTGACAGGACAATGATTTTTTACGGAACACGGTGCATAGGCATGAGCCACCAGTCACAGCAGAGCCTATTCGCCTGCTAGCTGAGAATGAAGATATGGTGGTTGTAGACAAGCCTTCCTCCATTCCTGTCCACCCCTGTGGCCGCTTCCGACACAACACAGTCATATTCATCTTGGGCAAGGAGCACCAACTCAAGGAGCTACACCCATTGCATCGGCTGGACCGCCTTACCTCTGGGGTGCTCATGTTTGCCAAGACAGCTGCAGTCTCTGAGAGAATTCATGAGCAGGTTCGGGACCGGCAGGTGAGCCAGGCTTTTGTCTCCTGCAAGCCACTTACTTTCAAGATGATCAACACCAAAGGGCCAAATGCAAGTTATATCATATATAATATATTGCAAAAGATCTTTAGAGATTGCATACACTGCCTTTCTTTGGTAATTTGCTGTTTTGAAGGTTTTGGGGTTTTTTCTTGAGACAGAGTTTCACTTTGTCACCCTCAGTAGACTGCCGTGGCATCACAGCTCACAGCAATCTCCAACTCCTGGGCTTAGGTGATTCTCTTGCCTCAGCCTCCCAAGTAGCTGGGACTACAGGCACTTGCCACAAGACTCAGCTATTTTTTTTGTTGTAGTTTGGCCAGGGCTGGGTTTAAACCTGCCACCCTCGGTATATAGGGCTGGCACCCTACCCACTGAGCCACAGGCACCACCCAGCTGTTTGAAGTTTTAAAGTGCTAACCAGGCTGAATAATGTTTTTATAATTGTGGGGAAAACCTCCTTGGTAGAAAGATTCTGAATAAAGTTGGAAGAAGCTTGGTTAGAAGAGTTTAATGATAATGATTGTTGTCTTGAGACTTGTAATACATTTATTGAGGGCATGCTATACGTATACCACATATATTAGACCCCAGCTTACTGAATGCTTTTAACAGCCCTATCAAATAAATGCTTTTCTGATCTCACATTTTCTAGGTGAGTTAACGAGATTTAAAGAGATTAAACAAGTAATGTACCCAGGATCATGAAACTGGCAAATGGTGGAGTTAGAAAGGAGAAATGGTGGCAAAATCCACTTCTTTCTTACACCAGGACATTCCTTATCTTTGTGCAGAGGGTTTGGACTTCGTGAGTTTAGCCTTTGTACTGACTTTCTTCTTCTTCCCTCCTATGTAGCTGGAAAAGGAATACGTGTGCCGGGTGGAAGGGGAGTTCCCTACTGAGGAAGTAACCTGCAAGGAACCCATCTTAGTGATGTCTTACAAGGTTGGGGTATGCCGTGTAGATCCCCATGGCAAGCCCTGTGAAACAGTGTTCCAGAGGCTAAGCTACAATGGCCACTCCAGTGTGGTACGATGCCGGCCACTCACCGGACGCACCCACCAGATCCGAGTCCACCTGCAATTCCTGGGTCACCCCATTCTCAACGACCCCATCTACAACTCAGTTGTCTGGGGTCCTTCTCGAGGCCGGGGCGGCCACATTCCTAAGACAGATGAGGAACTTCTGCGAGACCTTGTAGCAGAGCACCAGGCTAAACAGAGCCTGGATGTGCTAGATCTCTGTGAGGGTGACCTATCTCCAGGACTCACAGACTCCACAGCCACTTCCTCAGAGATAGGCAAGGATGGCCTGGAAGAGTTAGCTGCAGCTGACCAGAAGATGGATGGAGCAGTTGAGACAGCCCCTCAGGATGTGGACACAATGACCTTGGCACCAGGGAAGTCAGCTAAAACAGATGTTTTGAATCAAGAGACAGACCCACTCTGTGCAGAGTGTCAGCTGGTGCGACAGGATCCCTTACCCCAAGACCTTGTGATGTTCCTACATGCCCTGCGCTACAAAGGGCCAGGCTTTGAGTATTTTTCACCCATGCCTGCCTGGGCACAGGATGACTGGCAAGAAGACTGAGGGCTGTGGCCAGTAGAGAGATTGCTTCTTGGACTGGAACAGGGATAGGCCATAGGGCAGAGGCTGACCCCATGGACTTGTTCTCTGGGTTTCTACAGGAGTGAAGTTGGGCTCTGAAGGGACCTGCTCACACTTCCTACCTCCTTCTTTCCTTTTCTTCCAGTTAGACTTCGGAAACTTCTTGGTTTGTAAATATATCTTTTTGTAGTACCTTGTGTGTCTGTTTTTCTTCCTTTTTTAAAAATTGAGGTAAAACTCATATAACTTAAAATTAAGCACTTTAAGATAATACAAATTAGTAGCACTTAGAATACAATGTGTACAACCATCACTTCTTAATATTTCCAAAACGTTTTTATGACCCCATTAGGAAACCTGTACCTGTTAAACAGTTACTCTCCATTCTCCTCTTCTTAGCCTCTGGTAACCACTATACTACTTTCTGTCTCTATGGAATTGCCTATTCTGGACATTTTACAGAAATGGAATCACAGAATATGTGACCTTTGTTTTTCACTTAGCATGATGTTTTCAAAGTTCATCTAATTTGTAGCACTTTCCAGTACTTCATTCCTTTTTTATGGTAGAATAATTCCATTGTACAGTGTACTACATTTTGTATATCCATTCATCAGTTAATGGACATTTGGGTTGTTTCTACCTTTTGGCTATTATGAATAGTGCTACTATCAACATTCGGGTATAAGTTTTTTGTTTAAATACAGTTTTTCAGTTATTTTGAGTATGCACCTCACAGTGGAATTGTTAATTCGTGATAATTTTTTTTACTTATTTTTGAGGAGTGTCTCTGTTGCCCCAGGTACAGTGCAGTGGTGTCATCATAGCTCACTGCAACCTCAAACTCCTGGACTCAAGTGATGCTCCTGCCTCAGTCTCACAAGTAGTTGGGACTAGAGGTGTGCACCATGGTTCCTGGCTAACTTCTATTTTTAGTAGAGATGGGGTCTCACCCTTGCTCCCACTGATCTTGAACTCTTCAGCTCAAGCAATCCTCTTGTCTTATAAGTAGGTATAACACTCTTATACACTCTGCCTCTGTTTAATTTTTTGAGGAACCAACAAATTTTTCACAGTGGCTAAACCATATTACATCCCCACCAGCATTGAAAAAAGTGTTCTGTTTTCTCCACATTCTTGCCAACACTTGCTGGTTTCTTCTAATGAGAGTGAAGTAGTATCTCATTGTGGGTTGTTAGTCTTTTTGTTGTTGAGTTGTGTTCTTTTTATATTCCGGATATGATAACATTATCAATAACAAAAAGACTAACAACCCAGTTTAAAAATGAGCAAAGGACTTGAATAGACATTTTCCCAAAGATAAACAAATGGCCAACAAGCACATGAAGAAATACTCAACACAGTCATTAGGGAAATGCAAATAAAAACTGTGCCATTGGCTCGGCGCCTATAGCTCAACCGGCTAAGGCGCCAGCCACGTACACCTAAGGTGGCGGGTTTGAATCCCCAGCCCGGACCCGCCAAACAACAATGACGGCTGCAACCAAAAAATAGCCGGGCGGCTGTGGTCCTAGCTACTTGGGAGGCGGAGGCAGGAGACTCGCTTGAGCCCAGGAGTTGGAGGTTGCTGTGAGCTGTAATGCCACGGCACTCTACCCAGGGGGACAGCTTGAGGCTCTGTCTCAAAAAAAAAAAATTGTGCCATTAGTATAAGGATGGACATACAGGTCAATGGGATAGAATGAAGAGTCCAGAAATAAACCTGCACATCAGTTGATTTTTGACAAAAGTACCAAGACCATTCAATAGAAGGAAAGAATAATCTTTTCAGCAAATAGTGCTGGAAAAACTGGCTGTCCACATGTGAAAAAATGAAGTTGGACCCCTACCTCACATGATAAATAAACATCAACTGAAAATGGATCAAACACAGAAGAAAATACTGGGGTAAAAAAAAAATACTGGGGTATATCTTCATGACCTTAGATTTGGCCATGGATTCTTAGCCATAACACCAAAAGCACAACCAATAAAAGACTAAATTGGACCTCATCAAAAGTGAACTTTTATGAATCAAAGGACACTATTAGTAAAATGAAAAGACAGCCTACAGAATGGGAGAACATTTCAGAATTGGAATTGTTGGGTCACATGGTAATTCTGTTTTTAATTTTTGGAGGAACCTCTATACTATTTTCCAAAGTGGTTGCCCCATTTTACAATCCTACCAACAATGTGTCCAATTTCTTCACATCCTCACCAACACTTGTCTTTTTTTTTTTTTTTTTTTGAGACAGAGCCTCAAGCTGTTACCCTGGGTAGAGTGCCATGGCGTCACACCTCAGAACAACTTCTAACTCCTGGGCTTAAGCGATTCTCTTGTCTCAGCCCCCCAAGTAGCTGAGACTATAGGTGCCCACAATGCCTGGCTATTTTTTTTTTTTTTTGCAGTTTTTGGCCGGGGCCGGGTTGGAACCCACCACCTCCAGTATATGGGGCCGGCGCCCTACCCTTTTGAGCCACAGGCACCACCCTATATATTTTTTGGTTGTAATTGTCATTGTTGTTTGGCAGGCCCGGGCTGGATTCGAACCTGCCATCTCCGGTATATATAGCTGGCACCTTAGCCGCTTGAGCTACAGGCACCAAGCCAACACTTGTCATTTAAAAAATTTTTTTGATAGTAGCCATCCTAATGGGTATAAGGTGATACCTTATTGTGGTTTTGACATGCATTTTTCTGACAGTTAAGGATTTTGAGTATCTTTTCATATGTTTGTTGGCTGTTTGTATATTATCTTTGGAGAAATGTCTTTTTAAATCTTTGCTTTTTTCTAACTCTGTTGCTCAGGCTAGAGTGCAATGGCCTCAGCTTAGCTCACAGCAACCTCAAACTCCTAGGCATAGGCAATCCTCCTGCCTCAACTTCCTGAATAGTTGGGACTACAGGCGCCTGCCACAACACCCAGCTAGCTTTTCTATTTTTAGCAGAGATGGGGACTCACTTTGTTCAAGCTGGTCTCTAACTTGTGATCTCAAGGGGTCCTTCCACTTCAACCTCCGAGAGTGCTAGGATTAAAGATGTGAGCCACCTCCTGGAATTGTTGGGTCAGATGGTAATTCTTTGGTTGTGTTCTTTAATGCACAAAAGTTTTAAAGTTTGATGTAGTCCCACTTGTCTGTTTTGCTTTTGTTACCTGTAAGGCTCATGGGATTTTGATAGCAGTAGAATATGTCGATTGTAGTATTGATTTTAACAGCATCAAGTCTTCCAATCCATGAATATAGTGTGTCTTTCCATTTATTTAGGTCCTTAATTTGTTCCATCAATGTTTTGTTATTTCCAGTGTACCTGTCTTGTACCTCCTTGATTAAATGTGTTATTATCTTATTCTTTTTGATGCTATTTTAAATGGAATTGTTTTCTTTTTTTCTTTTCTTTTCTTTTTTCTTTTTTGAGACAGTCTTACTATGTTTCCCTAAGTAGAGTACTGTGGCACCACAGCTCACAGCAACCTCAAACTCATGGACTTAAGCAATTCTCTTGCCTCAGGCTCCCAAGTAGCTGGGACTGTAGGCACCTGCCACAACACCAGGCTATTTTTCTGTTGCAGTTGTCATTGTTGTTTAGCTGGCCCAGGCCGGGTTCAAATCTGCCAACCTCAGTGCATGTGCCAGTGCTGTAACCACTGTGCTATGGGCGCCGAGCCTGGAATTGTTTTCTTCATTTTATGTTTGGAGGCCAAGCAAGGTGGCTCACTCCTGTAATCCTAGCACTCTGGGAGGCCGAGGCAGGTGGATTGCTTGAACTGTCAAGTTCAAGACACAACAACTAAGAAAATGACATGAAGGCTATGTTAACCAGTTGGATGAAAGTATTCCAAATTGTATATAGAAACAACTCATTGTACCCCATGATAGTATTAATGTACACAGCTATGACTTAATTAAAAAAAAAAAGTTTAAGACCAGCCAGACCTAGAGTGAAACACTGTCTCTAAAAAAATAGCCAGGAGTTTTGGCAGACGCCTGTAGTCCCAGCTATTTGGGAGGCTGAAGCAAGAAGATCACTTGGGCCCAGGAATTTGAGGTTGCTGTAAGCTACGATGCCATCACACTCCATCAGGGTGACAAAGTGAGACTGTCTCAAAAAGAGAAAAACATTGGCTCAGCACCTGTAGCTCAGCAGTTAGGACACCAGCCACATACACCAGGGCAGGTGAGTTCAAACCCAGCCCCGGTCTGCCAAACAACAATGACAATTACAGCAACAACAAAAATAGCCTGGCATTGTGGCAGGCACCTGTAGACCCAGCTACTTGGGAGGCTGATGCAAGAGAATCACTTGGGCCAGTGGTTCTCAGCTTCCTAATGCCACTACCCTTTAATACAATTCCTCATGTTGTGGTGACCCCCAAACATAAAATTGTTTTCGTTGCTACTTCATAACTGTAATTTTACTACTGTTATGAATTGTAATGTAAATATCTGATATGCAGGATGTATTTAGGTGACCCCAGTGAAAGGGTCATTCGACCCCTAAAGGGGTTGTGACTCACAGGTTAAGAACTGCTGGAGCCTTAAGCCTAAGAGTTTGAGGTTGCTGTGAGCTGTGATGCCATAGCACTCTACCAAGGGCAACATAGACTCTGTCTCAAAAAGAAAAAAATTATGTTTATATTGTTATTGCTAGCGTGCAGAAATATGACTGATTTTGTGTGTGTTTGTGTGTTGATTTTGTACTCTGCAAATTTGCTAAATTTGTTTAATAGCTTTAATTCTTTGTTATGGATTCTTTAGAAATATATGTGTGTGCACAAAAGACATAAACAGAAACTCTTCAAATGAAGACATACTGATGGCCAACAAATTTATGAAACAATGTTCAACATCTTTAGTCATTCGGCAAATGCAAATCAAAACAACATAAAGATTATCACCTAACTCCAATGAAAATGGCTTATTTCAAAGTCCCATAGTGGGCCAGGCAAGGTGGTTCATGCCTGTAATCCTAGTACTCTGGGAGGCTGAGTCAGGTGGATTTCCTGAGATCATAGTTTCCAGACCAGCCTGAGCAAGTATGAGACCCTCTCTCTAAAAAAATAGCCACGTGGGCAGTGTCTGTGGCTCAATAGGTAGGGCACTGACCCCATATATTGAGGGTGGCATGTTCAAACCTGGCCCCAGCCTAACTGCAAACAAAAAAAGTAGCTGGGCATTGTAGTGGGCGCCTGTAGTCCCAGCTACTCGGGAGGCAGAGGCAAAGGAATCGCCTAAGCCCAGGAGTTGGAGGTTGCTGTGGGCTGTGATGCCACTGCACTCTACAGAG